GACTAGTAATCTCCAAGAACAACGATGAAGCTTGGAAGGAGAGAAGCTTGGCTCGTAGACTACGACAAAGGTATGCACAAAGTCATGTTGAATTTAATGTCTCCGTAAAATCAGATATACCCATGCACCAACAGCTTTCGAGTTTTCCCAAAAGGGGGGGGGGGCGGGGAATAGGTTTTTCCAAAGAAAAGGATTGGGGGCGACCATCCGCAAGTGCGTTTCACAAGGTTTGCGAGCCAATCAATGGGAACGACATTCAAGGATTGCTCAATCGGATGGGTTGGAAACGTTTGCCAAAGACAAACTATTCCTGTTTCTTATCAGGGTAATCTAAACAGTATCATTCCCTTCTTCTCTTTCTGTTAATTTGACAATAATTTCTCACTGGTAATATACGATGTATCACCAAATCAGATTTCATTGGGATTACTTCAGTAATTTAGACATTGGCTTTTGATGCATATATGCATATTTTATCTAGGATTCATTTAATGAACAATTAGAATGTAAGATTTGTGACCCAGCCCCTATTGAGAAGTATTGCCCGCTTAGCTGGTCAGCGTTTTACTCATTGGGATTTTGGACTCCAATACTGTCCATTTTGACGATATACCCAGTACATACATATTCCAATACTTGTTAGTTATTTAAAACCTTGAACCAAACAGACTGAACCTCACGGCGTTTGCCTCTTTTGGCGCCTTCCAAGCCAAAAGTTGACTCCAAAAATAGAGTGTCATTGTTGATCTTGAATCATCTGTGCATCGGATGCCAATAGAAAGAACTCTTGTTCTTAAATGGCGCATTTAAAAGGAGCATTTTTTTTCTCTTTGTATATATATTGATAGAGAAAGATACGATATACGATAAACGCATATACAGTCGAAACATTATGATAATTGGAAATTGATAGGATGAAATAGGTTGGTGATAAAGAGCGTTTATATTTTTGATGGCTTTAAAATTGTCTCTATGAAGATTAGAATCTTGGTGTAAGAAAAAAAAAATATTTTGAAAAAAAAATGAAAAAAAAAAATTATTTGAAAAAAAAAATCGAAAACTGAAAATGTAAACTCATTTTTTGAGTTTACGTTTTTTCCTCAAATTTATAAACTGAGACAACCATTTATAAACCAAAAAAAATTATCAAACAAGTTTTTATGACAGTTGTTAAAATTTTTGTAAATATAAACTGAAAACGGAAAAGTTACCAAACAGGAAATAAATAAAAAATTAAGAATTAAACCCTAAATCTTAAACGGGAGAGTTACCAATAAATCCCAAATGTTAAACTTATGAACCAATTGGTCCCAATTTTTTTCTAATAAACCGTTTAGTCCTTGGATATTTTGAGGGACCTTAATGCCCTCATTTAGATGTTATTAGATGCATGCTCTTTATGAGGGTGTGCCACGTGACACACACAATGGGTGCCACACATCAACAAAGTACACCAAGGCTCTTTATGAGGGTGTGTTACGTGACACACAATATGTCACGCGACACACACAATGGGTGTCGTACATCAACAAAGTACACTAAGGCTCTTTATAGTGACACACACAATATGTCACGTGACACACACAATGGGTGCCACACATTAACAAAGTACACCAAGGCTCTTTATGAGGGTGTGTTACGTGACACACAATATGTCACGCGACACGCACAATGGGTGTCGTACATCAACAAAGTACACTAAGGCTCTTTATAGTTTTTGCCTTGGAGTGTCACGTGACACATACAATGGGTGCCACACATCAATAAAGTACACTAAGGCTCTTTATGAGGCTGTATCACGTGACACACAATATGTCACGTGACACGCAATATGTCACGTGACACGCACAATGGGTGTCATACATCAACAAAGCACACTAAGGCTCTTTATGCTTTTTGCCTTGGAGTGTCACGTGACACACACAACATGTCACATGACACACACAATGGGTGTCACACATCAACAAAGTACACAAAGGGTGCCACACATCAACAAAGTACACTAAGGCTCTTTATGAGGCTGTATCACGTGACACACAATATGTCACGTGACACGCACAATGGGTGTCATACATCAACAAAGCACACTAAGGCTCTTTATGCTTTTTGCCTTGGAGTGTCATGTGACACACACAACATGTCACATGACACACACAATGGGTGTCACACATCAATAAAGTACACAAAGGCTCTTTATGCTTTTTGCCTTTGAATGATGTATGTCACGTGACACACACAATGAGTGGCACACATCAACAGAGTACACTAAGGCTCTTTATGCTTTTTGTCTTGGAATGATGTATGTCACGTGACACACACATAGAAGGGTATAATTGACCACTCAATGTTACTAAACAAAGGAAATAGGATCAGCTGATAAGATATTTCCCCACTAATAGGACTAATCAAAACAATAGAAATAACCTTAGGACCAATCGGTAAAATTGTTTGTGGGATAGGATTTATTGGTAAATATCCCATCTTAAACCTTAAAATAAAAATAAAAAGAATTTTAAGAATTAAAATAAATAAGTAATCATTTTATATAGTTGATTATTATTTACTATTATAAATTATTATTATATATATTTAATATTGATTTCAATTTTATAATATAAAATTTATATATATTAAAAATTATATGTTTGATGTGAGTGTAAGTGTGAGTGTGTGTGTGAGTGATGTGTGTGTGTGTATGTCAGAGAGAGAGAAAGAGAGAGTGTTTGTGAGTGCGTGATGTTGTTTGGTCTATTATTGAAAGCGTGGTTTCTAACTACATATGTTTTACAACACAACTTAATTAAGAAAGCGTGGTCAGAAACCACGCTTTCTGGAAAAAAAAAATTATTTAAAAGTGTGATTAGAAACAACGCTTTACTCATAAATCAAATTTCTTTAAAAACGTGATTTGTAACCATGCTTTCTTAATTAACCACGCTTTTACGATTTTATAAATTTTTATGATTGGGTTACAAAAACGGTAAAAACGTGATTTCTAACCACATTTCAACTTATTTTAAAAAATTCGTCAAAACTAGGCCTAGATTGGGGGTAATTCTATTTACACATTCTTACTTATCTTAGAATACACTATTTACTCAGTTTACACCATACACAAATTAAAACTTTTAATTTTATCTCAATACACATCAATAATTTTCAGATAATACTAAACTACCCTCGTCTTCTCCAACAAATTCTAACACTAACCATTGCCGGCAACCACCACCTCCCACCGGCGTCGATCCTTTCTCAGCCTCTCTCAACTTCCCACGGCTGCCGCCGCCCCTCCCTATCCTTCTCTCCCTCCCGCCACTGCTACCTCCTCTAGGAGATTGAAACCTAGATGATGAAATGAGGTTTCTTCAAGCAAAGAGATGGGAAATTTCTAAGGGTGGGTGCCCCTCTCTATAATCTGTACTATACAGAAAAAGAAGCCCAGGATTTTATTTTCATATCTAAATTTCAACAACCCTTTGGGTGTGTGAGTTTGTATGTACTCAGTACTCTGTACTATGTATCTATATGCATAGCTCTGTGTGGTTTTGAGTTGGGTTGGGTTGGGTTCAGTTCGGTTTGATTCGATTAATCGAATCTAGATCCTTTAGAGTGATTGAACCCTTCTGCTGCATCTTTATCATCATCATCAACCCCATAACAAACAACTGTTCTATCTTCTTTGTAAGAGGCTGTGATGATAGCTTTTTTTGGGTTTTCAAATCAGGTCTTGAGATTTGAATCCGTTTCATGGCGGGGCAACTCGGAAGGCCATTGAGAGAGAGAATAAGAGAGAGAGAGAGAGATTAGATCTGGTTTTCTCTCTCTCACTAGGCAACCATTGTTGCAGCCATGGTGGAGTTTAACGCCATTATCAGCCTGATATCATAGCAGATCTGAGCCTCACCCTCTTCTTTACTAGAAATTTTATGATTATTTTGCACAATTTTTAGAATGATTGTTTAAAAGTGACAATTTTACAATTTTAATTAAGAAAATCGAAGTTAACTGAAGCCTCTTTAGCAAATTAATAACTTTTTATTTTTCCCTTGAATATTTTGTGGAAGTTTAATGGCTATACCATGTGCCTATTTGAAATTTTGACATTGACAATTGAAATGATATGAAGATTTTGCAGAGTATACATATATCTATGAAGGTGGTGATGATCGGAAGGGAGGGAGGTGACTGCCGGTGGTCGGCAATGGCAAAGGTTAGGGTTGAGTTAGGAGGGAGGGAGAAAGGGAGGGATGCGTTGGTAATTTGATTAAAGGATAACAATATAATAAAATAAATTTAAAAAAAATGTGTACTGAGTTAATTTAGTGTGTGGAAATAGAATTTCCCCTAGATTGGAATAACTTGGTATTTTAGCTTACGGAAAAGCCCCCGGCAATGAAGCGAATCCCAATCAGCTTGCTTGTTTTCATTTTTCATAAAATATTTTTCAGAAAATTTTACTTTCTTAATTTTCATGTTTTTTTATTTTTACTGAATTCTTTTAATATTTTAAGAAATTTTTTTACTTTTTAGACACACCTAACATAAATACACCTAAAAAATAAAAAAATTGTAAATTTTTTTTAAAAAAATTCACTAAATACCAAAAATACAAAATCAGCTTGCTTGTTTTCATTTTTCATAAAATATTTTTCAGAAAATTTTACTTTCTTAATTTTCATGTTTTTTTATTTTTACTGAATTCTTTTAATATTTTAAGAAATTTTTTTACTTTTTAGACACACCTAACATAAATACACCTAAAAAGTAAAAAAATTGTAAATTTTTAAAAAACAATTCACTAAATACCAAAAATACAAGAATTCAGTACATTTTTTGTATTTCTATGTATTTATTAATTTTTTAAAATATTTTTTTACAAATTTTTTACTTTTTAATACATCTAAAAAAATAAAAAAATATTTAAAATTTAAAAAATATTAAAAATAAAAAAAATATTTAAAATTTAAAAAATATTCACTAAAAACAACCAAACTCTCCTGATCCTATCCAGCAACGATTGCTACCATCAGTATAGCAGAACTCCAGTGGAGGGAAGCAGGGTTTTCTCTTTCCATGGCGACCTTGCATCAACAACATCCACATCTCTTCAACACCAACAACCACTCAAATGACTCACTCGAACAACCCTTTTACTCGACTACCACCACTCACAATCGCCGAACAAGCCGCCTAGTACGACTAGTAATCTCCAAGAACAACAACGATGAAGCTTGGAAGGAGAAGAAGCTTGGCTTCGTAGACTACGACAAAGGTATGCACAAAGTCAGTGTTGAATTAAGTGGTCTCCGTAAATCAGATATACCCATGCACCACAGGCTTCGAGTCCAAGGCGATAGGTTCCAGAAGGATTGGACCATCACGCAAGTGGTTCACAAGGTTTTGGAGCTCAATCAATGGGACGACATTCAAGGATTGCTCAATCGATGGGTTGGAAGGTTTGCCAGAAACAACTTTCCTGTTCTTATCAGGGTAATCTAAAACAGTATCATTCCCTCTTTCTCTTTCTGTTTAATTTGAAATAATTTCTCACTGTAAATATACATGTATACACACAAATGCAGACATTTCATTTGGGAATTACTTCAAGTAATTATAGACATTGGCTTTTGTATGCATATGTGCATATTTTATATCTAGGGATTCATTTAATGACAATTAGAAATGTAAGATTTGTGACCCAGCCCCTATTTGGAAGTATTGCCCGCTTTGGCTCAGGGTTTTACTCATTGGGATTTTGGACCTCCAATACTGTCCGATTTTTGACCGATATATCACATACATATTCCAATACTGTTAGTTATTTAAAACCTTGAACCTAACAGCTGACCTCACGGGTTTGCCTCTTTGGGCTCCAAGCCCAAAAGTTGACTCCAAAATAGGAGTGTCATGTTGATCTTGCACATCATCTGCATCGATGCCAATAGGAAAGAACCCTCTTGTTCTTAAATGGGCAATTTAAAGGAGCATTTTTTTTCTCTTTGTATATATATGTATAGAGAAAGATAGATATACGATAAACGCATATACAGATGAACATTATGATAATTGGAAATTGTAGGATGGAAATTAGGTTGGTGATAAGAGCCGTTTTATATTTTGATGGCTCTTAAATATTGTCTCTATGAAGATAGTAATCTTGTTTGTCTCTAAAATTTGGTGATTAGCACCACTTTTGGTCATGGAAAGAAATAATGTTACTGCATTGTTGACTCTTCCTACTGGGTGCCAGATGTTGAAAGTTTTTGTGAAAAATTATTAACTGGAAAGAAGGAGAAACTTGGTTTTTACAAAGCTCTTTGTGAGGTAGATCTATGTGATTTTTTATTATGTTTATTTGAAACACTAAAGCACCATAAAATTGTGCCTGGAGGTGAGTGAATATGCCAAGTTTTATCAAATTAATACAAATTTTAATGTTAACAATTGATTACTTGGTAACACAATCAATTATCCAATCAATCCATCAATTCATCAATTAAGTAGTTGATTCATCAAATCTACCAGTTTCATCAAAATAGAAATCGATCAATCACAAGACTTGAGATTGGAAGCTTTATGGAAACCCCCATCTATAGGGAGAAAACCACGATCCCAACACTCAAAGTTGATCCACCTATGAAGCACAGGTGCGGGTGCGGATATGATATGGATACGCCGATACGGCAAATTCTTAAAAAAAGTAGGGTACGGGTACGGCTAGGGTACGTCAAATTTTTTTTTTAATTTATAGCTAAACATCCAACATACAAATCAAAATTTCAATATGAAAACTAAAAAGAGAACAATTTGCCTAAAAAACTATATAATTCTTTAATTTTCTTTTTTGATTGTCTAAAATAGGATGCAAAAGAGAGCAAAATCATGACTCATGGGTAAAGGGTGTTAGAAATAAATTACTTAATATTTTCAAAATTGAAAGAAGAATAATAAAGACTGCAACAAATTCTAGCAGTTGCAAAAAATAAAAATAAAATTTCACCTTGTTATAAAGGTGCTGACCCATGATGTATCCATGACGTATTGGTGCCGTACTTATGACGTACCCAAATATATTTGTTGTACCCGGCATGTATTCGGCGTACCCGATATGCGTACTGTCGTACCGGTACGTGTACTCACACTCAATAAGTACCCGGTACTCGTACAACATCATTTTTGGAGTACCCGTGCTTCATAGTGATCCACACTATTGAATCAAACGGGTACAAAGACACAAATAAAGAAACTACTGCTTCTTACTCAAGTTTATCCACAATTGAGCCCACTACAAGCTTGAACAAGCTCGATCTACGCTCACATCAAGTATTGTAGATCCGAGAGTCATCATGAAGCTTCTTGATCCGATTTTCGTCTTCAATTGTGTTGTTGCTTAAATGGCCATGGTATTATAGGCATATGAAGTGAATGGTGAAGGTTTAGATGTGTACTAATTCCATCAAAGTGAGTTGAATGGTTTCAAATCATTTGAATTAAAGCTGTAGATTGAAATAAAAGTGAGATGCATCAATAGTCTTGTTGAACAAGTCATGAAGCTACTATAGATAGAGAAAAAAAATGTAAAGCTTCAATAATTGTGGTGCTTAAAATGCCAAAAATGATGAGTTTTAAACGTTGAAGGGCAAAATGGTTATGAATTTAGGCCTCAAAATGCACCACTAGTGCTCAAGCGCATGTTGAACACTAATCGAGCCCTTGTCAAGTGCTAACCGAACAGGCTTCCAAGAGCCAGAACTCGAGCGCTTGTCAAGTGCTGAGCAAGAAGGCTCAGGTGAAGCAAGGATAATGGAAGTGCCAAAAACATAAAGTCCCAACCAACCCATGATGGGTTGGTGCCCAAGTGCAAGTGCAATTTCAAGCAGTGATGTACAAGGGGTTTGGATGGATCTTATACCTGCTAGCAACGGAACCAAATATTGTATCACTTCTCAAAGAAGATCTTTCATGTGGTGAACTCAATCTTGCTAGCTCAACTAAAAATCCTTCCAACCCAAAGCCTCAAAAGTATAGACTCTGGAGAATTTGTTCAATTTGAAATTGCTAATTTAGCTAAAATGATCCCAACATTAACAATTAAAAAAACATGATGAAATGCTGTTTTTATGACTTCTATACAAATTGTTTGCTAAGTTATACAGTTTGAAATATTTAATTTCTTAGTAAAGAGGTCATATGAATTATTAGCATTGAAAGGGAATACAGTGTATTGAACAGTAGTTGTATGATTCTTAGCTTCACTCTTAATTTTTTTTTTTGTTAATTATAGATAGCAAAACGATTAAGTGGAGCATGGTTAGATCCCAATTTGTACAAGTATGACAGTCCTAGTTAAACCCTTTTTAATTTTCTTATATGCCTTAGGATATCAAGTTTCTTTAAAAAAAAAAAAAATCTTGTCTACGTAATTGTATAACTGTTTTGATTGATTGTAAGTAAAAATACTTTTTGGGGTAATATTCTTCCCAACACTTTTTGGCTTTGCCTCGGTTGGGAATAGGCTTTTTTAGTAACTTTTTGACTTTTTGGCTAAAATATGATTTAAAAAAAAAACTAGTATGTTTGGAATGGCTTTTTGGTTTTTTACAAAAAGATGTGCAAAAAGTAGAGAAAAAATGGAATCTTTGACTTTTTGGTATAGGTTATTGGCTTTTTTATTTTTTTAGTGCCTTTTTGGCTTTTAGGCTAAAAAGTGATGTTGCCAAACATCGTATATTTGGAGATTGGTAGACGATGATATGCTTAAGAGATAAGAAATTTCAAAACAATCTTCTCTCTATTGCTATTATTTTATAAATATGGTTGAATCCTTAAATTTGTTTTAAGGTGAGGGAAAATAGTGCTATTGGCTTCCTCATGCGGATGTAGGCAATACAACCTAACCATGTAAACGTTGTTTCTTCTTTATTTCTCTATTTTATTTTATTCTATATATTTCATTACTATTTTTATATTTCTACTTTGTACTAGAGTTGTCAATCTCGTCTTGTACAGGTCAGTACTTACTGTACTCGAAGAAAAACAGGATGCAATTAACCAAGTTCCGTTTCGCCTATAATCTTGCCCTAGTCCAGTGTGTTTTGGTTATACCAGAAAAATACTGGCAAAAAAGATGAATCTCGCAGTATACTCCAGTACTTGACATACAAGATTTTGTTATATAAAAAAAAGGAAAAGAAAAAGATTCTACACCGTTATGACACCACCATACAGTGTCCTCTACAACGTTATGACACCACCATCCAGTGTCTTCACCAATGGTCTGACACGACCATACAGTGTCTCCTATCCTCTTTTATTTTTATGTATTTTATTATTTTGTTCCTCTCTCCAAACTCAAGTTGGTTAGTTTCTATCCTCCTTGAGTTTGCGGGGGGCTGTTAGAATTTATCTCCACCTACCACCTCCACTATCACACACTCCACACCTACCACCTCCGCTATCACACACTCCACCTACCACCTCCACTTCACTCCTACACCTACCACATTTTCTTCTATATATAGGAATTGTAAATGTATCAATATATCAATCAATCTTGTAATACATCAATCAATAATATACATCAATATATTTATTTACATGGATTTAAGTAAAGAATTTAATTGGTAAAAGTGAATTAATAGAAACAGTGCAACAAAGGTACAAAACCCTCATTGTATTTTACTTGGTGTAGGAAATAACTCATATGGGTTCTATTGAACATAGCATTCATGTTTTCCGCTGGATGAAGAATCAGAAGAATTATTGTGCTCGAAGGGATATTTACAACATGATGATTAGGTTGCATGCCAGACATAATCGAATAGACCAAGCACGCGGTTTGTTTTTTGAGATGCAAGAGTGGAGGTATGGTCATTAGTTTCCCATTTTCTATACATGCATTATTTTTGCCTTAGGTTTTATAAGAAGAAGAATACTTTCTGAAGCTAAAATGGGATGATCAGTGGAGGAGCAATTTTTTAGCTGTTGTTTACTAAGGTCTAAAAATGTCTTATTGGAACAGTTGAAAGAACATTTCTTTGGTAGATATGATAGAAATGTGACCGAAAATAGCAACTGGTTATAAATTATAATAAATAGTAACTTCTGTTAGCAACCTTTTCTATGTAATACCCGCATATCTGGAAAATATGGGTTTTTGTTTTCTTCAGTGAACAAAGAAAAACTGGAATGCAAATGATGCTTGTTTTTTGTTTTTTCTTTTTGTGTACCAATGTTGCTTGATATCAATGCATATTAATTTTTTTGGGTACATGTAAGAATATCATGCATCTAAACTGCTGTGCAGTGCCTTAACTTTTTGGGGGCATAATAAAGTTTTGCCAAATTAAAATATGAAGAGTTGCTCTTATTGAGGAATTTAAAATAAAAATTAGATGAAAACATGCCTCTTGTTTCTAGATACCAACGACTTTCATAGGAAGAGGAAGGGGCCACTTAACATGTTGAAGTCTACAAAAAGAACATTGGTTGCAGGATCTTGAGGTTTTTCTAATGTTAAGATTTCAACTTGTAAGAAGCTAAAGAAGTTGAGTTCCTATGAAATTGAAAACTTTGAGTGCTTGGCATATAGGAAAAGAGACTTTGAGGTGTTTTTTGCCTACACAAAAATCCTCCTATAAGCAGACTTCTAATCCTTCAACAATGAAGCATTATATAGTTGATACGCACTCAAATGCATGAACTCCTTTTTTTTATTTATTTTTTAACTTGGACCTTGTTGCGATGAGTTAGATGCACTGGTCCGGTTAGAATTTTCCCCAGTGGCATTACTGTCTACAATTGTTTATTTTTCTGGTAGGTGTAAGCCTGATGCTGAAACTTACAATGCCCTCATCAATGCACATGGTCGAGCTGGTCAGTGGCGTTGGGCAATGAATATTATGGAAGCTATGCTTCGGGCATCTGTGTGTACTCTTATTCCTTATCAAACTAGTGCGTGTAATGTTTTTCTTTTCATGCTCAGATGTTATCTTTGGAGAACGTAATTTTTGTTATTACTTGGAAACTTCATCATTTGGGGTTCATTCCTATTACTACTATCGTGATAACAATTTAACTAGTTCACCACTTTCTTCATTAAATCACTTGTAATATTCTTTATGGATTTTTGTTAATAAAAATTGTGATAGCTCAGGTCATGGTTTTAAATCGTAGTGTAATGTTAGCAGGATATTATATAAGATATAGCAGTAACAGGAATTCACAATGGGAAAGGCTACCATGTGCACCCAAGAAGGGTGTATATGGTATGCACCTTATACAAAAAGTACAACTTTATCACAAAAAATATAACTTTTACCCCCCAAAAAATAACTTTTTGCTTATCACAAAAAATTTTACTTTTTTGTTCATCACAAAAAGTATAACTTTAACTTTAGGATGCACACCATAACTTCACCATTCATAACTTTCACCACAAAAATCATAACTTCCACCACAAATATTCACAACTTGCGCCACAAAAATCATAACTGTTTTTACAAGTGTACTTTTTAGGGTGCATATTGTAGATTTCCCATTGGAAATTGAACCCATAATTTTTTTTTGAAGTACCACCACATGCCGAAAAACTCATTGGTAAATATGTTCTGTATATCACAATTTGAATGTATAATGATTTTTAATCAATGTTATGGAACCTAAAAACATTTTTGTTCATAAATGACATTGAATTTTATGTTGTTTAAGGTCGAAAAGTGGAGAAATTCATCTGGTAAGGAAATTTCAGTTACTAGAACAATTAGAAATGCTACTAGAATGGAACGTTATAAAAATAAAACAACATGAAGCCAGTTCATCTTATAAGTTACAGCACACAAGATATTGAAGAAAACCCATGGTATATAACACTAAATTTCCTAAATAAGGAAGCAACAACAATCAAGCTCAACAATTTGAATCCCAAGATGCACCATGTCACTCATTTTGGTGGGGTGAAGGAAGCAACAACAATCAAGCTCAACAATTTGAATCCCAAGATGCACCATGTCACTCATTTTGGTGGGTTGAAGATAGCAGCAACAATCAAGCTCAACAATCTGAATCCCAAGATGCACAACGTCACTCATTTTGGTAGTGACATTATGCAATTTTAGTAGTAACATTATGTAAAATGTAATCTCTGTTATTTGTGAATTGTGCTATTATGTTATGTACTTTGTTAGATTCTTCCATTAAGGATATATACTTTTTAAAAACTATTTAAGTTAAAATCTACATATGCTTCCACAAGTATAATAATTAAAAATAATTTTATACATCTAAGTCCAATAAAAGGAATTTTTGCCACAACTGTAATATGGATTTATGACATATAAAGTCATTAATTAATGAAATAAAATGTAAAAAAACTCATTTTATAGTGATTTGAAAATATGAAATATATTGGATCATACTTAAAAATTATCAAAAATTTATCAAAGTTTATGTTATTATCCAATAAATATGATTTTGAAAAAAAAAAAAAATATGCGTATCGGTAAGTTTTTTTCAAATTGTGCGAAAAATAAAAAAATTCGCAGTTTCGGTTACCGCAACCGCTACAGACCTTGTACCAACCGCTTTCATAGGAAGAGAAAGGGGCCACTAACATGTTGAAGTCTACGAAAAGAACATTGGTTGCAGGATTATTTGAGGTTTTTGTAATGTTAAGGTTTCAACTTGTAAGAAGCTAAAGAAGTTGAGTTCCCATGAAATTGAAAACTTGGAGTGCTTGGCACAAGGAAAAGAGACTTTGAGGTGTTTTTTGCCTACACAAAAATCCTCCTATAAGCAGACTTCTAATCCTTCAACAATGAAGCATTATATAGTTGATATGCACTAAAAAGCATGAACTCCTTTTTTTATTTATTTATTTTTAACTTGGACCTTGTTGTGATGTGTAAGATGCACTGGTCCCATTAGAATTTTCCCCAGTGACATTATTGTCTACAATTGTTATTTTTCTGGTAGGTGTAAGCCTGATGCTGAAACTTACAATGCCCTCATCAATGCACATGGTTGAGCTGGTCAATGGCATTGGGCAGTGAATATTATGGAAGATACGCTTCGGGCATCTGTGGGTACTCTTATTCCTTATCAAACTAGTGCGTGTAATGTTTTTCTTTTCATGCTCAGATGTTATCTTTGGAGAACGTAATTTTTGTTATTACTTGGAAACTTCATCATTTGGGGTTCATTCCTATTACTACTATCGTGATAACAATTTAACTAGTTCACCACTTTCTTCATTAAATCACTTGTAATATTCTTTATGGATTTTTGTTAATAAAAATTGTGATAGCTCAGGTCATGGTTTTAAATCGTAGTGTAATGTTAGCAGGATATTATATAAGATATAGCAGTAACAGGAATTCACAATGGGAAAGGCTACCATGTGCACCCAAGAAGGGTGTATATGGTATGCACCTTATACAAAAAGTACAACTTTATCACAAAAAATATAACTTTTACCCCCCAAAAAATAACTTTTTGCTTATCACAAAAAATTTTACTTTTTTGTTCATCACAAAAAGTATAACTTTAACTTTAGGATGCACACCATAACTTCACCATTCATAACTTTCACCACAAAAATCATAACTTCCACCACAAATATTCACAACTTGCGCCACAAAAATCATAACTGTTTTTACAAGTGTACTTTTTAGGGGTGCATATTGTAGATTTCCCATTGGAAACTGAACCCTTAATTTTTTTTTGAAGTACCACCACATGCCGAAAAACTCATTGGTAAATATGTTCTATATATCACAATTTGAATGTATAATGATTTTTAGTCAATGTTATGGAACCTAAAAACATTTTTGTTCATAAATGACATTGAATTTTATGTTGTTTAAGGTCGAAAAGTGGAGAAATTCATCTGGTAAGGAAATTTCAGTTACTAGAACAATTAGAAATGCTACTAGAATGGAACGTTATAAAAATAAAACAACATGAAGCCAGTTCATCTTATAAGTTACAGCACACAAGATATTGAAGAAAACCCATGGTATATAACACTAAATTTCCTAAATAGTATTTATAAAAAAATCATTGCCAAAAAAAGAAAGAAGAAAAAGCACTTGAAATCAAGTACATCTATTGATATGAAGCAAATATGTAGGACGAGTAGGGATTACTTTCCTGCGAATTGGGAATACTTTCCTACGAGTAGTGAGCCCGGGTTAAGTGTACTGGTAGCAGCAACAATAGACTAATAGGGCCGGATTTGATGGGATTTTGTGACTACAAAAGTATTTAAAAAATAGCAGTTTAAGGGTTTGTAAAAGGGTAGGGTTTTGGGAATGAAAACACAGTGTTTAGGGGCTGTTGGGTGGCTGTCCTAAGCACCGTGAACAGTGACGTGAACAGTAACCTTGCTGGATAGGAGGAGAGAGAGAAAGAGAGAGAGAGAGAGAGAGAGGTGCTTCACCCTCACAAGAGATAGGCTAATCACACAAACATAATCTCAAATTTTGATAATATTAACTCTGCTCTTGAATTATTGAGATTACACATATTTATAGGCTAATGACTCCTAATTCTACCAGGACTACAACTCAAATTTAGAAACTAAAAATATTTAGCAACTACTAATATTCTAGACTAACTATGACTTCCAATTCTACTTCGATCATAATAGGTAACTTTAATAACTTTTAATTCTACTTCAATATCAAAATAGAGAATTTAAACTTTTGACCACTTAAATTATTTTAGTCATAATAAAACCTATATATAATGATTCATTTAATGACTTGACCCAAAATAAAACCCATGGGCGACCCCTACAACCCATGTCCAACAATTATTGGAATCACCATTATACCCTTAATTACTAAAACTACTATAATGACATGAAGACTTAAAATAATTCCAAATCTTTGATTCTTGATGCCCTAAATGTGCTTTATGTGAAATTTCAGATTTGCTCTTTTTCTTTTTTTCATAATCTTCATCAATTTCCCCTGTATTCGAAAAAACTCGACCTCGAGTTTTATAATGTTGAAGTATAAGGATTATGGAATCTGGCACTTGCAACCATTCAAATTGATTGTTTTGAACGAACAATGAGAAAATCAAAAAGTTTAATTTTGTCATCACTCCATTGGCCACATCGAATTTATTAGGAATAATAAACTCAATGTGAACTTCATTTTTTTTTGTGAAGAGCAGAATGTTCAGTTGGATTTTCATCATTTTCTTTTGCTTCCTTGGCTTTAGAACCTTGATCATGACGATCTTTCATACTTTCTTTAGTAAGCAAATTAATTTTTGCCTTCGTTTCTTCAATATCCTCAATATTAGCAACATGTTCATGTTGCTCTTTCATAGTTTCTTCAAAATCGTCTACACAATCAATCTTTTGCTCCTAGATATTAGTTTTATGTAAAACAGTAGTAGCCAATCCTTCCACGAAAGCTTTCAATCCATTCAAAATTGTCTTGATAGTATGTAAATCACTCTTTATTGTTACAACATCCTCTTTAATTATTGCAAAATCCTCCTTAAACATCGCAACATCTTTCTTAGTAACTCTGTATTCTGTTGACAAGGCTTTAAACTTCCAATTTAATTCAATGCTTGTCAACATTGTAATAAAGAAAGCAATTTTATTAAAAGATTGGTAAAGAATAAGGTAGGATCTTAAATCTCGGATACCAAACTGATGTAGGATGAGTAGGGATTACTTTCTTACAAGAAGTGAGCCTAGGTTAAGTATACTAGTAGCAACAACAATAGACTTAAAGGGCCGGATTTAGTGAGATTGTGTGGTTGCAAAAGTATTTCAAAAATTGGAGTTTAAGGGTTTGTGAAAGGGTAGCGTTTGGGGAGTGAAAGGGTAGGGTTTGGGGAGTGAAAACGCAAGTGCTTAGGGGTTGTTGGGTGGCTGTCTTAAGTATTGTGAACAGTGACAGGA